ATTTTATGGCTAGTGGAGGCTATAGTCCTGCACAGCTGTAGCTGTCAGGTCAGTGACTAAGAGGAACTCTTCGCACTTTGGCCTTGAGTTGGTTGTCTCCCTGAGCAAAAGGCTACCTGCCTCCATCAGCTGTGCGCAGCTGATTCTTTTGTGACTTGCGGCCTGGTGATTGGTCGAGGCTGGCTAACACAATCTCACATGAAGAGGCCAGGAGGCGAGGACAATCATACCTTCTCGGCCTTTTGGCTATGATCAAGTGTAGTATCTGTTCTTATCAGTGTAACAACTGATATGTCTCCAACTGGAGATTTGCTTGTCACATCAATTTTTGTTGGGGAAGTGTCTTCCTGAGCTTGCTTGGGGGCCTTCGCGTGTTGCGCTGGCATGGCACTGAGCCAGTGGCAGCACACCCTATGGGGTAACAAATAGCTGAGGACGGAGCTAGATGTGCGTACGTGGGTCAGTAGATTATATGTGCAGACTCATCAAGATGCTCATGTGACCAGAGCAGAGTCCTTCATCAAAATGTTCACGGAATGGCTATGATGGAGGGGCGTGTAGAATCTCTGTGGCATGAAAGCCAAGGAAAGCCCTTATCGATGATGTGAGTTATGAGGTAAATTTGTTTTTATAAGAAAAAGGTCGTTTCGAGGGGATAAATTATTATGCATTTTTGTTTTTGCTTCTCGCGTTTTCTTCTTTTTTTTATGTTTTTTCTTCTTAATGTTATTATATTGGTTTTTTGTTGTTATTATTGTTTTAAACTAAATATTGATTTGAAGATTTTCATTTTATATAAATAATTGTTTTTTTCGTATTTCGGGATTTTTATTGATAATATTAATATTTTGGGATTATTAAGGAAAGGTCTATTTCTTATTTTTTTATTTATAATTGTTATTTTAAATTTGTTTTGTATTTTTTTTGTTTATTAATATGGGTTTGTTTTTTTTTAAGGTGTTTAGTTTATGTAGGGTAGGGATGTTCGATTTAGGCGAAGTATATCACCGAAGCATATCTTGAAGTATACCTTCTGGAAATGCTACTACTTTAGTCTTCACACTGCGCGAAGCATATCCCGAAGTACATTTCCGGAAGCATATCCTATAATTAAATATTCCGACCCGGGAACGAAACAATTTTAGTAATTTTCTATATAATAAAAATACTAATTATATATTATGGTAAAACCTGAATATATTATATATATTTATAGTAATATAAAAAATTAAATCAATATTTAAAATCACGAAAGGTAGCGGTTACGCTACCTGAGTTTTTCTGTTGCTTTAGTAAAAATGTATTAACCCAGAGCTATAGCTTATTTCTCGGAGAAATGGTCCCCGACATTTTCGTTTGCTGGCCGGGGGGGGGGGGGGGGGTTT